CATTTTCCCTCCAAAATGACGTTGGTTCGCGCGCGCGCACTACTTAGTATTGAGAAAATCTCGTTCTCGTTGTCGTCCTCGTCTTAGAATCAAAAGCTCTGTAATAATGGGATCACAAAGGACGTCAAAATGTGGTAAGACTTGCAACATTTTGACGTCATCTGTGATCTAATTCTGAACAGATGAAGGGGAAAATAAAATCTCGCTCGCGTGGTAAGGGGGAGATCTAATAAAGCAACGTTAAGGATAAATTCGGAGTGATATTAAGCAACTATCTGAGGCACACGGACTTCGATTGAAACCTTGCATGCGATATCGTAATGATAGGCCATTCTTGAGGCTATGAACAATTCACTGTAATTACTTCCCGTCCTTAACCAACCTTAAATAGGGCATTTACGCAACGACGACGGCGACGGCAACGAGAACAGCAGTTTCCTCATGCACTTTCTGCTTCCAGAAAGAAGAAATATCTTGACAAGACAACTTTTTGACGAGCGAAGTTTATTTAGCGTCCTAACGGTTTTCACTACAAAGTTACACTGCACAATGAATAATAATTTTAGCGTGATCTGCAGCTAATTGAATCGGAACAACGAATAGTCTGTATTGGGAATAACGGTCTAAACAATCGTCGGCTAATTGAATATGCAATAGCGTATTCCAACATCCCCGCTCCTTTAGAGATGATGACGTCAGTGACTAGAAAACTTAGCATAGGATTCTTGCACCCGTGTACTCTAAAGTTGGAACACATTTCACACCCTCGTATGCGCTTAAATCGACATGCTCATCGGAAAACTTGTCACACGTTCACGAACAAAAGAAAAGAAACTAATGATATTCTTGTCACGAAAAGCTATTACAGCTACAATTACTAATACGACACACTACAAGTACATTTCTCTTAAATTGTTATAGTGTCTCTAGATTTGTTCAATTAGTCTCGTAGGTGGTCTAATAGCACGTCGTGGACGAGACAACGCAATTCCGACCGAGGTCTTTATTTATTCATAATTATTTTGAGTTTACCTTTATGCACATTTGAGCATTTTTGACCTTTGGACTCAGCTTATATGTATAATTAAAATTACAGTATTATAACAACAACAACAACAACAACAAAACAAAGCCAAACAAAACGATGCATTATTAAACCCTACAGGCTAAAACTGGCATGCACGATACTTTCAGCACTGTTACAAGGTTTTAGAAATTACATTGCAACCATTCTAACAAAGCTACCTCAGAGGTACAGTGTACTGTATCAGCATATCAGGTTTATCGTTTGCTGTTCATATGTCAGTTTTGTCTGCAGATTGTGTTTTTATCCTGTTGCATTGTGTATCGTTGTGTTCTGTTGTTTTCCTTTAGTCGCTGTCGGCGACATTCTGTCTGCCAGTGCTTACTTCTGGGCCGTTTATTCAGTATGAGGCTTTGTTTCTCCACTTGCATTTGAGGCGTTGACCTCATTTTGTTGAGGTTTTGTCCTCATGTTGTATCAAGGCTTTGTCCTTGTTTTTTATATTGAGGCTTCGTCCTCATACTTTATTTGGAGGCTTTGGCCTCGTATTATATTGAGGCTTTGTCCTCATATTTTATTTTGAGGCGTAGTCCTCGTAATATTGAGGCTTTGTCCTCATATTTTATTTTGAGGCTTCGGCCTCGTATTTTATTTGAGGCTTCGTCCTCATATTTTAAATTGAGGCTTCATCCTCATATTTTATTTTGAGGCTTCGGCCTCGTATTTTATTTTGAGGCTTCGTCCTCATATTTTATATTGAGGCTTTGTCCTCATATTTGATTTTGAGGCTTCATCCTCATATTTTATATTGAGGCTTCGCCCTCGTATTTTATTTTGAGGCTTCGTCCTCATATTTTATTTTGAGGCTTCGGCCTCGTATTTTATTTTGAGGCTTCGTCCTCATATTTTATATTGAGGCTTCGTCGATCCTCATATTTTATATTGAGGCTTTGTCCTCATATTTTATATTGAGGCTTTGTCCTCATATTTTATATTGAGGCTTCGTCCTCATATTTTATATTGAGGCTTTGTCCTCATATTTTATGTTGAGGCTTTGTCCTCATGTTTTATATTGAGGCTTTGTCCTCATATTTTATTTTGAGGCTTTGTCCTCATGTTTTATATTGAGGCTTCGTCCTCATTGTTTTATATTGAGGCTATGTTCCTCAGTTTGAGGCTTTGGTCCTCATTGTTCTAGGCCCCTGTTCCTTTGTTTGTACCGCTTATTTGATTTGTTTGCAGTGATATGTGTGTGGTTCTGTTTGTTGTAATTTTGTCTAGGGTAACCAGATGCCAATGTTATTTGGTTTGAATTTCTATTCACATTTTTTGCCTTTTTTGTCTATTTTTTAGTCTTTATTCGTGTAATCCGTTATTTTGGTTTACATGCAGGTACATCAATTTTAATCTTCGGTTTTGTTGGCTCCCCTGTTTTGATATGTGTGGACATTACAGTCCTGCATTTATTGTGATGCGACACTGTAATAAGTTGCTTTATGCTTTACTCTCCACGTCACATCATGCCCAGTGCTTTTAGCTTTGTTGTTTTTGAGGAATTTACTGTTTATTCGTTTTGTTTGGGAGATCCTGATTGATTTATTAATTGGTAACACATTGTTCTTTGATGGTAGCACATTCTGGCTTTTTTAAAGAAGTTGTTTTTATAGTTTTTTCATTTTACTGTAGGTGCTAAGGTATACACATGCAGCTCCCTTTCATGGATGCCTTTTCAAAGAAGCCAGTCTTGAGCAGAGTACCAACCAGCTTTATCCAACCATCATCAGCTTTCCCTTGGCATCTCTCTTAAGAAAGTCAATAGCTCTGCATTCTCTTTGGTTCCTCAATTCAGTTCAACATAGTATGCCAGAAATGTTCCAAAGAGTTGTACACATTCTGCTGATCAGTTTTCCAGGAGTTGCATCTCTAGTGCCGGGCTACTCAAGCGCAGCTGCTGCGTCCCTTGGCATGTGGCATCTACGTGTACATCTACTTGGGCAGAACTTTCCTCAGGCAACTTTGGCTTGCTTGGCATTGTGATTGGGTATACATGTAGCTCAAGTGTATAGGACATGTATGTCATTTGATACTTATGTGCAGGACATATGGGCAGTGAGATTGTAATATGTAGAATTCTCACCACATGAGTCAGGGTCATTCGGCCATCTTACAGTAGATTAATTTTTTCACTTTATTCACCTGTTAGTTTCCTAGGTGATTTCTGCTTATAGTATAGTTTCAAGGTGACTGTACGGCCATCTCACAGATTTTCATTTGAGTCAGTTACATCAGTGAGTTACGTCAGACTTTTTATTAGCATCATTCAGGGTGACTGTGTGAGCAGGGGCCATACAGCCATCGCACAGATTTATTGTAATCAGCTACATCAGTTAGCTATTTCAGACTTTTGATAAGTATAATTCTGCATGACTGTGTGAGCAGGGGCCATACAGCCATATCACAGATTTCCAAATTTAATCCGTCCATTATGTCACTGAGCTATGACAATTTAGAGTAAATTGTTATTATTTAAATACATGTTTACAGTGTGAGCAGGGGCCATACAGCCATCTTACCGATTTCATTTTAATCAGTTACATTAACGAGCTATTTCAGCTTTTTGATAAGTACAATTCAGCGTGACTGTGGGAGCAGGGGCTATACAGCCGGATCACAGTTTTTCAAATTAAATCATTTCATTATGTCACTGAGCTATGACCATTCAGCCTAAATTGTTATCATTTAAATTCATGGTGACTGTGTAAGCAGGGGCCATACAGCCATCTTACCGATTAATTTTCAGTTCTAATCATTTCAACCTGGTTTAACTTTACAGCTTTTACACACGTTTGAGCTTCGTATCGATGTGGCATTAGTGAGGCCGATATTATAAGTTGACTGTGTGAGCTGACAGGCTATGCAGCCATTTCCTTTATTCTAGCTACAGTAGCCCATTTCTTTTGGTTACATCAATCCACTTCTGTATCCAGGACTTAGGAAAACGTTACTTAAAACTCCTTTGCTTATGTAGGCCATTTTATTCCCATCTAGTGTCCAGTGCTTAGTGAATAAGTGCAATTTATGATGGCTGTGTGAACAAGGGCCATACAGTTATCTCATTCATTTTCACTTTTAAACTGTTAGTTAACTTAAGTGATTCACACTTTTTGATCTGTATCAGGTTCAATGATGTAAGTGCCAGTGACAAAGAATGTATACAATGTCCTATTGCTATGGACACACATGAGCCATTATGGCGCTAGTTGACTCTATTGTTGTAAGGTGTACACGGTTGGATGATTATAATACATGTATATTCATCTCAGCTCTCGCACACTGACCTTTTTTATTTGTAATGTGGTATCTTTCTTACCTTTAACCCCCAGAGGTTTTGTGTGACTGCATGTGGTTTTTCGGGTTTCGTATCAGGCAGCGCACACCTTTTTCTATTGTACATTTTGATTTGTAGGTACCAGTAGTTTCTGTTGGCGGTCGTCTTGCTTTGGCCTCGGGTGGGGCGGCCCTTTCACTCGTTCCTTGCTCTGGGCTGTGGCGGGTGTGCCCTCACCTTTGCTGGGATAATGTTCTTGTGTATCTGGTTTTCCCAGCTTTATATGCTTTAATTTAATAAACGGCCACTCCCGTGGCCAAAATATCCCATAATGGGTTGGTGATTATTTTGTATCCCAGCAAACAGAGCTCACCCAAAGCGAGACTCCGCCAACATCAATAACTTTCGTAATATGTAAAGGAACATGAAGCATAAATTGTTATAGTGTCTCTAGATTTGTTCAATTAGTCTCGTAGGTGGTCTAATAGCACGTCGTGGACGAGACAACGCAATTCCGACCGAGGTCTTTCCCGGCACACACTGTTTGAGCAATGGCTTTTGTGATGGCTGGTCAGCGACATCAGCTGCTGTTGAGCTGGGATGTTTGACAAGTCCAGGTCTTGGAGACTTTGGTTCTGTTCCGGGAATTCATGGGGCCTGGTACAATTCTTCTGGTTGGATCTCAATCGGTGAACGAATATGGCGACGATTCCTGAAGTACCGAGCACCGGATTCAGTCTGTACCTCATATCGCCTGGGCGAACTTTCACTTGGCTGCTGTACCACCTTGGCTTTCTGCAAGATTGGTTTCTTCGGATCTAACTGGAACAGGACACTCTGAAATTGTTGTAGATCTTGAAGTTTCTTGGCTGTCCGATCGTAGTCATCACGTTGGGCTTGTTTCTGTGCTATTTGCTCCTCCCTGCTGATCTCTAGATTGGGATGCAAATATTGATGGATAGGAAGGAGTGCTCTATATTTCCGCTAGGAAAGCATCTCTCCTGGGCTGAGCTGACCCGGTCTGATTGGGGTCGCACGATAAATCAGAATTGCAAAATGTGGATCAGAACCCGACTCTTCGGCCTTCTCCATTATGCCCTTTACGAGTTTGACCATGGCCTCAATGAAACCATTCGACTGAGGAAACCTTGGGCTTCAGTGTTGCACTTCGAATCTGTACTGCAGGGCAAATGTTTTGAATTCTTCGTACCCCATGTTCTGAAAATATTGTCTTCAGAAGACGTATCACGTGTCCCCCCGTCAGACTGGTCAGTTTCTTTACCAAAGGGAACGTGTTGAAGTAGAATATGTCAACTCTAAGTTTGAACCATGGCAAGCTGGGCACATCATGCGGTACTGGTGGTTCCTTCTGTTGAGCAGGCTTGTATTTCATGCATACGTCACATAATTTAAGAGCATTTCTCACATCATCCGAGATTCCGGGCCAAAAGACTGTCTCTCGTGCTCTCAACAGAGTTTTCTCTTCTCCTACGTGGCCCGCATGAAGATCCTTTAGATACTCTGCTATCAGTGAAGGTGAAATCACAAGTCGATGTGCTTTGAATATCACGCCATCTTCAACTGCAAGTTCTTCACGGTAATTCCAATAATGTTGCGGTTGTTCTGGGAGTTGGTGCCTCTGAAGCGGCCAACCGTGAAAGATGTAATGCCTTAACTGGTTCAAGGCTGGATCAGCAGTGGTGGCAATTCTGGTTCTGTCAAGTCAGTTGTCTGTGGCTGGAACAGTTAAAGTGACATGATGCACTGGAATCATATCCATCTGCTTTGAGTCCATAGGCTTTGGACTGAGAGGGTCGACTCGACTCAGGGCGTCTGCAATTAAGTTGTCCTTTCCACAGATGTACTCGACTTGAGTTTCGTATGTTGCAAGCCTCAGAAGAAGTCGTTGAAGTCTCGGGCTGGCAGTGGCAATACTCTTCTTCCAAATCATTTCTAGAGGTTTGCGATCTGCTTGAACTCTGACTGGTTCACCAAACACTTAGTTGTGAAGCCTCTACATGGCGAACACTACTCCTAGCAATTCCCTCTCGATGTTGGAATAGCGTTCCTCAACGGGAGTGAGAGATCTGGATGCGTAGATCACTGGTTTTCCTTCTTGCAGCAATACGGCACCTAATCCTCACACGGAAGCGTCAGTCTGAATAACGTGTTATTTTTTCTAGTCAAAGTACGCGAGTACTGGGGTCCTGGAGAGCTCGTCTTTGATGGCATCGAAGGCATCTTGATGAGAAAATCCCAGGTCCATTCCCCTTCATCCCGAAGCAGCGCTTTGAGTGGTTTGAATAGTCTCGTCAACTTGGCTGAGTAGGCTTCAAATAATTGACCATTCCCTGGAAACTCTGCAGAGCTTTCTTGTCCTTTGGTGCTTTCATCTGTTTGATGGCCTCGACCTTTTGTCGTTGACCTTCACATCCTTTAGCGTAATGGTCTGTCCGAAGAAATCGCACTTGGTTGTTTTAAACTGCAGCTTGTTTGGATTGAACTTAATTCCGTTCATTCGTGCCGTTTCGAGTAACTGGAGTAGATTTACGTCATGATCCTTGGAATCTACCTCTCCCGTGAGGATGTCGTCGACGCATCCCGTGATTCCTTTAACTTCTTTAAGGCCTGCATTCAACCTCTCCTGAAATACGTCTACGCTGACTTTAAGACTAAGGGGAAGTCGGAGCCACTTGTATTTCCCCCATGGAGTGTTGAAGGTAGTTGGGAGTGAACTTCCATTGTCCGATTCTACCATCCAGTACCCTGACATGGCATCAACAAGCGTAAAATATTTTCCTCCGTGGAGTTCAGCACTAACTTCATTCACTTCACTAACACTAACTTCACTTCATTGTGTAGTACTCGTTCCTTTTGATGTCCCTGTTAAGGTCCTTTGGATCTAGGCATAGTCGTATTGATCCATCAGGCTTAGAGACAGGAACGACGCTGTTGATCCAGTCTGTGGGTCCCTGAACTGGTTCAATGATTCCCGAACTGCACAATCTTTCAAGCTCTTCTTTGTATGCTGCTTTCTTCTTCTCAGGTACTGCTCGAGGTGGATGTTGTACAGGTTGTGCGTCTGGCTTGAGCTGGATATGGTACTTGCCCCCTGGTAGTTTTCCTATACCTTCGAATAAATCTCAGAATTCGGATAACACGTACTCCTTTGTTATGGGCAAACTGTGTCTCTTTCCCTTCAGGATGACAGCATCATCCAACACCTCACATGTAGGTTTGTTCACCTAACTGGAATCTGGTCTCAGGACGTTAACACTTATATGGATTTGCGGCGCACTGGTTAAAGAGGGCGGAGTTACCTCTGGAAAGGCAAAGTAGCCGACTTGCTAGAGAGATACCCTCGAGTATCGGTCACTTGACAAGTCGCCATCCGTGGCTGTTGTCTATCACCAGTATGAATCGCAATAGTGCACGCTCCTAGGTTTGCTACAGGAGATTCTCCATATCCGAATATCTGCACAGAGGTAGGGGTAAGAATCTTGTCTCCAAATAAGGATTTGTGCAGATACAAAGGCATCACGTTGCATCCTGCGCCTGTATCGATCTCGCATTCAACCTGATATATCGGTCCTCCACTTGCTGTACTTAACCAAAGAGGCTTGATGTGCTTGCTTGAAGTTTCATTAATACTCTTCACATGAAAAGTCTGAATATGGTGAAACATTGTGTGTTGGTCATCCTGTGGTACATGTGAACCGAACATCATGTGGTAGTCCTGTGCAGGATCACGAACTGAAGTCTGATTGGCACTAACTCCTGTCAGCGGTGCTGGTAAACCATGTACTTGAACCTGCCTAGGTTTACCAGTTGTACCTTGTTTACCTGTTTTGCCCTTGTAGCACTTTTTGTAACGTCCTTTCTTTCCACACTTAACAAGTAACATCCTTGGCCGGACACTGCGATCTGGGGTGAACAGGCTTTGCTCCACAACAAAAACAACTTTGTCTTTTTGTCTCACCATGCTCTTTATCTTTAGACGCCTTGTCTCGATTTGACCACTCCGTTGATTTCCCGCATTTTTCACGCTTTGTTTGCACTTTGTGAATCTGTGTTGATCCTTGCTGTATTGCAGTTGGTGCTGGAGTTTCTGTACTCGGAGTCTGCAGAATTGATCTTTGACAATCGCTGTTGTACATGAGAGTTGCAATTTCGTCGATCAGTCGTTCGGCGGTAAGCGAGTCCTGGTCTTCTTCCAAACACTTTTGATAAACGTTTGGATTCTTTAGACCGAGAAGAATAGCGTTCCTGAGAGCCATGTCCTTCGCGTCTTCTGGCCATCTGCATGCATCAGTGAATTTCCTGCCCTTTTCGATGTACTCTGAAAATTCCATATCACCTTGAGTGAGCACTTTGTACTATGTAGCCGCGACTAGTTTGCTCCCTCTGCGTATGCAATGCTCCTCCACCTTTCCGAGATGTATCTCTCATTTCTTGCGATCATAGGATGAAATTGTTGCCTTGTCCAAAATATTTTGTCCGCGTTCACCCGACCACTGATAAATGCACAGACAAACAAACTCCGGGTCTGCCTTGGTCATCACAAGACCTCTGCATAAAATCGTCCCCTTTTCCATTCTAAGGAACGTTCGTGAAGTTTTCGTCGTTTGTCCAATCCAAGATTAGTCCTTTCGCGAGAACTTCCAAGGTGAACTTGAGGCCTGCGAACACAAAAATATTCGCTCGAACTCTGCGATGGTCGATTAGCGATGAATTTGTTCGGTTTCCAGATCGTAGACTAGACTTTTACTTCTGACACCATGTTTCCTCATGTACTTTCTGCTTCCAGCATGACAAGACAACTTTTGAAGAGCAAAGTTTATTTAGCGTCCGAACGGTTTTCACTACAAAGTTACACTGCACAATGAATGATAATTTTTAGCGTGACCTACAGCTAATTGAATATGAATAAAGAATGGTCCGTATTGGGAATAACAATCTAAACAATCGTCGGCTAATTGAATAAGCAACAGCGTATTGCAACATACGTGTAATCAAATGGTGACGAGTGACGATTGTGGACAAAACGTAAGTGAAATCATTCCCTAAAGGCTCGGGAAATTATAAGGATTTGGACAAAACGTAAGTGAAATTATTCCCTAATTTCACGAGTATAGCATTTGATTACCTATTAATATCATGGGTGACGTATTACGTTAGCAATCTTGGATTTTTGACATTTTTATCCTGGATCGTATCGATCGAGAACTCCAGTCTCTCGAACGTTTAGAGCATAAATTTGGCTCAAGTTCAGAGTTTTTCCACAAAATACCTGTTAGAATCCTTTTTGATGTGCTCTTTCGTGTGTTCAGGTTTTCTAAAGCGTCTTTTTATGCCCTGCCATCTTCATTCATGACATTTTAAAACTTCGTCGCCATCTTGACACTGAGACGTACGAAAGGTTGCCATGGCCATTTTGGTAATTTCACATTTGAAATTACAAATTAGTATAGGTAATAACGTGATTTGTAGTGATATTTGGCATAAATACCACGAGTGATATTTCGAAATTTTTATACGTAATTTCACGAGCCGTTAGGCGAGTGAAATTTGAGACAATTTTGAAATATCACTAGTGGTATTTATGCCAAATATCACGTACAAATCATGCTATTATTTGTTTATACTACTACCCGCAAGAGGTTTGTAATTTTCACATGTAGGTATTTCAAATTAGGCTGGAATACCACTGCTCTAAGCCAATCAAATTGCAGAAATTTCTCATGTGGTGGTACAATCGCTGAAATTTCGCACCAAAGTTAAGGAGTAATTCGTCACCTATGATATTACGATGGGTATCACATTTTCCCGCGAAGATGACGTTGGTTCGTGCGCGCGCACTACTTAGTATTGGGAAAATCTCGTTCTCGTAGTCGTCCTCGTCTTAGAATCTAAAGCTCCCTATTTTATATGGCCACTTGTGGGTGAAGGATTTTTTGGCTACTGCACGATAAGCTTTGCCGTATGAATAATAATGCCACTACTAATAATAACTGATAAAACATCTTTATTTCAACACGGTTAACTCTCATCAGGATAACAAAGGTTAAAAAAAAAAACAGAGAAAAAAGGGTTACAATTATTTGTCGCTGACAAGTGAAACACACTTTCTTAGAAAATAACTTGCTTTTCAAGAGTGCCGTGTATACAAGTTTAGGCGTTATTTGAAGTATAGCTTACAGCCATTAGTAGTGAGGGTCGGTACACCGAACGAATTCACCTCAAGCCAAAATGCTGCTTGTTCCAATACAACCCTCTATCCTTTAGCGAGGATTAACCACTCCAGAAAATACCATAACATACCATAATACTCTTTGTTTGTCACCCCAAAATTTTGCATAAGCATTGTTTTCAGTTTCTCTTGAGAGTCATTATTGTATGTTATGGTACTTTCTGGAATGGTCAATTCCATGTGAAGATAGCGTGAAAAAACTGAGGGTTGTCCAATACCCCGACAAATTTATGCATGGCATTGTATTGTATTGTCTCACAATAACAATAAAGAACGAAGCAAAACAATGAAAAAATTAACAAAGCCATGCGCAAATTTGTCGGAGTATTGGACAAGTTTGAAAGGATATCAAATTATATTCCTCTTTCTGCAAACAGTTCATCCCGACCAGTAAAAAATAATTATGATCAGACTTTTGTCTTCACAAAGTTCGCTTTCCTAAACTGAACCATGATATCCTTCCTGGCTACCGAGGCCAGGGTGAAAAAACTCCGCGTGGTCGGCTGGTTCTATCACTATTTAGCCAATGCAAACAGACATTAACGACACGTCTTTCTTTTCCTGAAAACGGTTCATCCCAGCGAGTACTGAAAGGGTTCATAACTTCGTTTATCTGAATTTTTTTCGTCGCGCTTGCTTGACTACTCTTGACTCACGTATTGACTGTCATACAGAAAGTTCACGAAAACAAGCCTCGCGTCATGTGACTCCAAATTTGCCCCGTGATTGGGTAATTGCTTGTTTTGGGTCGTGGATCAAAATATATCCAAAAGTGGACAAGCTCTGGACTGATTATGAATCGTTCTCTGGTGATTACACTCGACTTTTTTGCGTTATTTTTAAAATTGTTTGCCCTTGGAATTTTTTTACGTGGATTTCAGTGTCCTCTTATCAGCGGCCATTGTGCTCGCAGCGGCCGGAAGAGAATTAACGACTGATACTCCACAGTGAGTGATGGAATCGTAGATGGAATCTTTCCTCACAGTTCACTTAACCTTTCTGTTGAGTTATTTTAGAGGCTGCTGACTCTTGGATACTTTTTGTGCTCAAACTGGGAAGACATTTTATGAAACGGTTATCGAGTTCGCGGCGACTGTTTTTAATAAACGATTACAACAGCATGGCCAGGAGTTTCGTAAGGAAACTCAACTTCTTAAGAATTTGGCTAGATTCCTTCTTGTATTTATCTTGATCCACAGCAAGGATAAACACGAACGCTTGCTCGTTCAGCTTGTTCGTAACAGACTTACAGAGGGACGTATACAAAACATAGACCCCTAGTCCATGGACCACCCCAAAAGTAAACGATCACATAGGTAAATGAACTATAGAGACAAAAGCGCAAAGACAAAGGGGAATTTCTTAACGCTACAAAGAGCAGCAACTGTCTCCACGAACGTCCAGGTCGCTACATCTCCGGGCCCGGCATTTCATCGTAACTTAAAACAACACAATTGTCTCCCAGGCTCTTCAGGCCGCTGGCATCATAACTCAACATTGCACAATTGTTTCTACAGCTCTCCAAGAGTAACTCTCCGGGCCAAGTAATCACAAATAAGTATACCAAAATTGGTTCTACAGTTCTCCAGACCACTGGCTCTCCAGGCCACTCAATCAAAATTCACCATAACACAATTGTTTCTGGCTCTCCAGGCCATTCAATCACAATCCAACATAGCACAATTCTTCCTGGCTCTCCGGGCCGCTTAAACATAAATTATTTCTTAGGATCTCTTTTTTAACACACTCGCACGGAAAACGCTTGCTAATGACGCAAGCTATGCGCTCTCCAGGCCGCTGGCTCTCCGCTGGCCACGCAATCATAACTGAACACAACACAAATCACTCTATGGCTCTCCAGACCGCTGGATTCCAAAGCTGTCGGTTGCTCTGCAGACTTCCTGGGTCACTAAGTCAGAGTTAAACAAAGCAGACTCGTGGCACGCGGCAGCTCTCTACGCTCCGAGTTGTATAAGCGCAAATCCACCATAGGAAAATAACAACACGAGAAAGAAACTTGCAAATGACCAACGCCTATAAGAGAGCACGCAAATAGGCCGGTAAGAAACAATGGCACTAATAAGCCAGTACCAACTGTGCAAGAAGACAAAAAACAAACAAAGAGGATGCGATAAAGGACAAATAACAGCACGTTAATGGCAGAAATAGCAAGCAAACGCTAAGCAAGGTGTGCCGTATGGTAAACGCTAAATATCTGAAACTGACAAGACTAGCTGTAGAAACCTACTCGATAAAAACAAAGCAGAAAGTGAATAAACGGAGGAAAGGAGCGAAACTAAAGAGGGTAGAAGGTACAAGACGCAACAACAAAGTTGATACCTATTCCAAAAATAAAACGTGAACACAAAACCGAACCTCGCTTGCTGACCTCGCCAAAAGCACTGGATGCAGCGCGAGCCCTAACGACGAAATTACTTCTGGAGTGACCGGTGAAAAATTGGCAGGCAGAAAAGGCAAAACGTGGGTCCCACATAAGTTCTCCAAAAGCGGCTGGTGGCGGTTAAAACCACAGCGAAACTTTGAAGTCACTTCCACTAGACTCTGTTAAACTGGCCAAGGGGCGGGCAAAAACCAAACAATTCTAACCAAGGGTCGCAATGCATCATGCCACCAGCGCACAGGCTCAACACGACGGAATTTTAAAGGAGTTTCTTATTTCCCGCGTCAAAGGCCAATTATGTATGCAGTGAAACTGGTAGAGTAATAGGCTA